ACATCTGAAAGTTCATATTAGAGGTCACATTTACTGAAAAAATAACAAAGACAGAATGATGTTGATATTCATTTTCTCAAAATAAGTTTTCCACACAGCTTTAGGAGAGCTGAACTGCTTTACTCTAAAATGTTCCCTCAGGAATATCTTGCCCATCGGGAAAGAAGCAGGGAAGGGCTCGGCGTGTATATTGCATATGTCAGTCATGGGTTCCAGTGGCACAAATTCTTTTGCCACTTGGGATAAATCCATCATCTTATTTCCAGACTTACAAACTAGATTAGAAGCAGTAAATTAGAATAGAGCAATGGTGCCACTACATCTGCAATTAATTACATTTTAACAAAGAATAATGACATTGCTTGGCACTTTGTCGCTGGCAAAAAGAGCCTTAAACAGCAATTGGCTGCAGGAAAATAAGTGGGAAAATTCTGTAGGGAGAGCAGGAATTCCTTGGGCAGCACAGTGGAATCACAGAGACAATAACTTTTCCACCTGTATATCCTAAATAGTTATTTAAAGAGGAAGACATCTGCATTTCAGCAAGTAGCTTTAATATGATTACTGTGTGCCAGGTGGGAAGGGTACAGATATCTCTGCAAAACAGTGTCAAGGAAAAATTTAAATCCATGGGGCTTCAAAGTCACAGTGATTCATTAATCAGACCTCATTTGAAGCTTACATGTAAATGGACAGAAAAAAATTACAATTTGTTCCAAAAACATCCATCACGTATGGTTAAAATTTTACAGTTTAGTGTTATACAGCTGTAAAATTACACTGGAATCTACTAGAAAAATAGAAGCAGCTGAGGTTTAAAGTTATAATTGTCACATCCAGAAAACAAAAGTTAATAAATGTATTGGAAAATTTTAAAAAAGCTAATAAATATATTATGAAGACCCCCCCCCAATGAAGGATAGACAAAATATTCATTATGGAGATCTTCTGCCACCTGAAATTTGAAACACAGCAATGGCCTTCTCTTTCCAAGTTGCCCCACTTTGAGGCTATGAGACTGGCCCTACCTCAGGGAAACATCACGTGGTTGCCAAATGAAGGAAGACGAGGAAATCTTGTCCTGAAAGGGCTCCAGCTCGAATGCTTCATGAATAGTTGCGTCAAATCATTTGGGTTAAATTTTGGTTCTTCGACTCTCTTCACTTCAGGTGCAAACAGCCCTTGGATGATAACATCATGGCCTTCTGTTACTGAAAAGAATAGCAGAAAGCCTATTTTCTGGAAGAAGCAAAGTGGTGGGCAAGAAATTACACTCACGAGGTGGACATCAAGAGAAATGAAAACTGACTATTAATTTTGTATGTTTGCTCCTGGCCTGAACGGTGCCGTAGCTCGAATGAAAGCTTTTCTTTTTAAGTGCGTTTTCTCAGTTTTAAAATGTCCCATGTCCTTCACACCAATTGGCCTTGCCAGCTACAGACTTGCAAGTAATACACACCTGCGCCAAGGCTGCCTCAATCAGCTTAGTCAAGACTAAGAATAGCAAGCCAGCCTGACCTCCTGAGCCTCTTCCCCCTCTTGCTTCTTCCCAGAGATGCTTTCTTCATTCCTAACCCCGAAAGGGGGCTTAGGGCTTGCTAGGAAATTTGGTAAATATGATCACTCTCCTAGTTGCAAAAAAGCTACAGTTTTAAGCCATAATAGTCTTTTAACGACAGCTGTGTTAACTTCACCTGCTTATGCCATGGCTAATACGGAGGAAGGAAACAAGTGGAAAGATGAGAATGTCGATTTATTTGCTGGGAAAACCATTAATTTTCCTGAGGCATCCAGAAATTAACATTGAAATATTTCTAATAGGGTGAAATCTGTGTTGCCCCTAAGCTCCAAATGTTTTTCCTTCTTGTATGCTGCCGCTGAGCAGTTGCCGTTGCCCTCCCCGTCATGCCCCATTGTTGACAAGCTAACTAAAGTTAGCAACAGCTGCAGGAACAATGATACCCCAGCCAGGCAACCATGGCACTCGGTTCCTTTAAAAATATGACCCCAAGTTATGTGGGGATTAGACGGAAAGTTTCGTTTTCATCCTGCAATGTGCAGGTAAGAAAAATTAGATATGGCTAAATTTTTTTAGTCACTCGAGGTAGTGAATGCCTACTGCCTTCCACCTGCATCCACAAACAGAGATTGAGTTGGGAAAGGCTCAAGGATTTAGGTTTTGAATGGGTTTCCAGTAGGACTAAAAGAAAAGTGGCAGCCACTTTGTTAGGGAAGATCGTGTGTCCAAAAGACACTGATCCCATTTCACATACCCATAGCGTCATGAACGTTCTTTGACCTTCTAAATCATCTGCCACAGAAGGGCGCACATTCTGAAGCAAATAAAAATAAAATCACACTCATCAGTTATCAGTCTTAAATTTCTTAATCCCAAGCAGACTTGAAATCTTATGATTTAGAGTTAAAGTGTTGAGACTTTGTCTTTCTCCGTTCCTCATATAATTTCCCCATAGATGCTAATCTTAAACACGCAGGCAAAATCTAAGGGTTATCAGGTTGATGTCTGAGCCCCTCTGCTTTCCTCTAGACTTAAGTTTATAATACGTCATGTTTCAGTAAGTAAAAATAAGGCTGAAAATTTTATTTTTCAGTGTATATAAATATGAACACTCGATATACAGTAGTTTTCTCCTTATTTCATTTTAAATTTTGTAGTTGGCTAAAGTGCACATGGAATTTATCCTTTTAACCCTTTCATGTGTGCAGTCCAGTGGTATGTAGCACGTTCACGTTGTGTGCAGTCATCCCCATTCTCCATCTACTGAGCTTTTATCATCCCTAACCAAAAACTCTTTTATTTAAATAGTACCTTATGTGTGAGGGCAGGTTTTATTAAACGAGAATTTATTATTTTCTTGGGTGTGTCGCTTATTACATTTATAGTTACAGATTAAAACTGGGGGGGGATTGCTGTTTACATTTAATGTAACTCAGGAGGTAGTTCTCTTGTAGCTCGTTCTCATAAAAGTGACTTAATTTTGCATTTTCTGCTGACATCAAATATATGCACAAGAAGGCATTGAATGTATAGAATATACCTAAGTAGTTATTTCATAAACATAGTAATTAAACATATTGCCTTTATTTTCTCTATTTGTTCTAAAAGATAAAAGTTTAATCTATAGCTCTTTCTACTCCTTGTACATATTATTGGCTTGTTGATCACGTTGGTTTATGTGGTCTCTGCTCTCGGCTTAGTGTGTTGCAAAAATGTTCAAAAACTTCAGTAACTATATAAGACATACAAAAGTGATTTGGTGTAAGTCAGTCAGATGAAAAAAAGCACATGAGTGTAATTTCTGTGATAGAATTTTATAGATGACTGTCTGTAAAAAGATACCATAACAGGTACCATATTTTTAACACTTTTACTAATGAAATATTAGTAAATAATATCATAAAGGCATCTTGCAATAAGAATTTTGAGAAATCATGCTTTTTCTAGGGTAAATATATTTTCCTGCGTCATGAGTATAAAATCTAACATAAACATGGGTTCTATTCCCTCTCATAATTTGTTTGCTGCAATGAGACGTTTCATGTTTTCCTGACTCTTCTTAGCATAGCTGAAATGTATTAGCCACCATATTGTCTGCTCTTGTTAAGCGCCTCCGTGTAATCTGAGTTTCAGATCTTCTTTGCACTTCTCTTGCGGTTAATTCATAGAGCTGCCTGTCAGCATGCTTATCTTTTTTCTATGTAAGAAAAGGACAGAAAGTGGTATATTCAATGGAACACAACTACCTGAAATTGTGGTACACAAGTAGAGTCAAACTGTTCATAAGACTGGCATAATTTACATTCTATTCTCAAAGCATAGACATACACTGTGGCAATACACAAATTAGTGTTGTTGTCACCAACAACTACTTTCACTTTTTTTTTATTTTAATATTTGTTTAAATTTTTTTTATTAATGAGTTTGTAATAGTAATTCCTTTCATCTTGGTTGTCTTTATTATTTCTCATAAGGCATACACATCATAATGATGAAATTTATTTGTCTTTGTTCAGCTGGAGGTTTGTTTTTTTTTTTTTTTTTGGCAGAACCGGGGATTGAACTCAGGCCCTTGTGCTTGCCAGGGAAGCGCTTGTTCTACTGAGCCATCTCCCCGGCCAACTTTCACTTTTTTAAAGTACCTCTTCAGTTAATGACCTATGCCTGAGAAATAAAGCTCATATTAAATCTGCTCACGGAAAGTACTTTTTAGCAGGGCTTATGCACTTCTTTTTCCACTGAGCATCATATTGAGTCTTCTCTTCCATCCCACTAATGTCCTAGGTGGTCTACCTTCCAACATTTCCTTCACCTCTCCCACGTGGACAGCTCCTTTATTACATTCGCACGTGATGGCTATAAAAGAGCTTCCGAGGGCTGGGGAGCTAGCTCAGTGGTCCAAGTGCCTGCCTGGCAAGCGCAAGGACCTGAGTTCAATTGCCGGTACAACATGCCATGCAGGCCTCAAAAAAGGGCATGGTGGTGCGCGCCTATAATCCCAGCGCTGGGGAACCTGAGACAGGGGGACCACTGCACATCTGAGCTGTGTAGCTAGATTCTGTGTCAAACAAATAAATAATTTTTTTGCAAAGAAAGAGAGCATCAGAAAGTGGAAGGATGTGGGGCCGATATTGCTAGCACATAGAGAATGGAATGAATGGGGAAAATGACCTCAAATTCTAAGAAAATTAGGTTAGTGAAAACACATATAATATGCTAGAAATTTGCTTGCTTAGGGGTGGAAGGAATATTTTATAAGTAATTCTAATTTATAAATCAAAAAGTATTAAAAAGAACTTGTAATTGCTTATATTGGGGGTATATTTAAGTTCACATTCTATGTCCCCTTGAAAGATTTGTTTCCTGTTAAAAATCTTCTCTGTGCATTTTGAACGTTATGAATATTTTGAAGTGATGAATACAAATGAATATTAATTTTGTAATCTTGAGAAAATTATGTTTCCTTTATATTGAACTGCAGCTCAAAGAGTCATTCAAAGGTATCAAAAAGAAATTCAACAATTTGAAGTTTAATTATGCTAAGAAAAATGAAAAAGCTCGAAATCTGAAGGCTCTTAAATATCACATCCAGCAAGTTGATCTGTATGCGGAAAAAATGCAGGTAAGGAGAAGGTGCTGTGTGTGGGTGTGGGCGTGTAAATGTGCGGGTACTTGTATTGTTACAGGTACTGCAAAGTCATTTTGCACATAATTCTAGATACTTGTCTTTCACAGCATTTGGATTGAAAGGGTATCCAGTTTTATATCAATTGGATCCCTTGTGAAAAAATAATAAATTTATTTATCTTTCGTATTTCAGAAATAGTAACTTTATTCCCTATAGCCCCCCACCAATTTGATTATTTGGTTGTCATTCAGCCAAATGACGCCCCCTTTAAGTGAACTCACCTATTGTAACAATTTCACACAGTAATCTATAACAGCATTCCATTTGGAGTACAGTTTGTTTATATAAATATATGATTGCTAGTACTCATTAGTATTATAAAATATTAGATGTCAATTTGGGTTTTTTTTTTTTTTTTTTTTTTCGGAACCGGGGATTGAACTCAGGCCCTTGCGCTTGCCAGGCAAGTACTTTCATGCATGAATATAACACAATTTTTTTGAGACAAGGTCTCACTGTGTAGCTCAGGCTGGCCTTGAACTCACTATGTAGCCTACTCTACCTTGAAGCCAAGGGATCCTCCTGCTTCAGTCTCCTGAGTGCTGGGATTACAGGCATGTGCCACCACACCTGGAACATGTAACATATTTTAGTCACACTCATACCACCATTATTTACTCTTCCCTCACCTTTATTTTCTTCCCTTTTTCTAGCAATAGTTGGAATATAGCTTCTATTATCTGAAATCAAGTGTTTTACTATTTATTATTATTGTTATTATTATTAATTTTGTAGGGGGGTACGGGGAATTGAATTTGGGATCTTGCATTTGCCAGACAGACACTTACACCACTGAGCTATATCTTCGGCCTTCTTTCACTGTTTTAAATTTTTAGTTATACGAGTTAGGTTTGAGTTTATTTTATTAGTTTTTTTTAATTTAAGGTTACCTTAATATATATAAACATAAAACTCATGCATATTTTGGAGGCATTGTTTCCATACACACAAGCATTATGTCATGTTTAAACAGGTAAAACATCTGTCTTCTCAGGTGCATATAATTTATTGATGATGGAAGCGTTCAAAGTTCTTTCCTCTAGATTGCTGAAATAGGCAATGCATTATCTGCAGTCACACCTCTCTACAATGGGACACTAGAGCGTCTTTCTTCTAGTGAGCTGCAACTTAGCATCCACTGACAAAGTTGGAGATTTGTCTCTTAAAGTGGCCCAGAATGGCTTCTGCCAAAGCCACCCAGCCCGTGAGCCTCTGTCCTGCCTGCATCACATCTGTGCTCACGTGTGGGGAACACATACACTCTCCGTCCCTCCTTCTACCTGCCTGTCAGGAGCTCCTTCCACAGTTTTCCTTGCATATACTTTTTAAATTATTTTTTAAAGAGAGTACAAAATAGTGCTAAAGCAGAAAATATTACAAATGGTACAGAATTTGATTAACCCAAAAATATGAGTTTGACAGTATTTGTTGTATTGTTTAGTGTTATCTTCATCTTCACATTAGTTAGATTACCAGATATTTACATAGACTTTTGAAAAATTTTTAAAAATCATTTATTTATTTGGTACAGGGTCTCGCTATGCAGCTGGGACTCCTACTGATCCTTCCCAGCACTGGGATTACAGGTGTGCGCCACCACACCCGCTCTTGGTGGCCTGCTCAGTGTGCCTGTGGACGGGACCAGCACAGCATATGCCGCTGGGGATCAAACCCTGGTCCCTGTGCGTGCCTGGTAGGGACTTAGACTGCTGAGCTATTCCCTAGCCCCTCATGTACACGTTTGATGGTCACATGTATGGTTTTGATTATTTTAGTGCTCTTTATAGGAGACAGGAAATTTAGAAGTAAGCATTTAAGTTTGATTTTGTAATCATTGCCTTTTTCTAAAAATCACACTAATCTTCTCATTATCTGTATTAGTAAATTTTCTATATGCTGGCCATTACTGAATAAAATGTCTGAATGAAATTCTATTCATTCTATTACGGAATGTAAAACATCACAAGGATGGAAGTTACTTTTTCAAAGGTATTCTCTAGCTATCACAAGCATCATAAATAAAAATTGAATGTTATTTTAAAAACTCTTTTGCATAGGCTTTGAGAAGAAAAATGGAAAAACTTAAGAGTAAAACTTCTGATTTTTTCCTAAATTATCCATGTAATAAAGTTAATATCATTTTGGAAGCTATGAAAGATTTGCAAAAACATGTGGATGACTTTGACAAAGTTGTCACTGACTACAAGATACATTTGGACCTCACCGAACATCTCCAGGAAGTAATAGAAGAGGTATTTTTCTTATGTTGTAGAGATAGTCTTGTTATCATATTGTTTTAAAAACTGATTTGCAGGTTCCCTGCTAGCTCGCCATGATCATATAGTGGTTAGTATTCTGTGTTGTGTCCATAGTAATCTCAGTTCAAGAAATTGTTTTGCTACTTTAAAACAATGATACATTAGCTATTATTGTCATTAAATTCCAGAATCATACCTCTTCTCATGATTGTTTCCTCGGGGTAATTTCCTAATGTGCAATAGTTGGGCTAAAAGGAATGAATAGTATAAGTTTTTTTTTTTAAATTGTATTGTCAATTTTCTCTTCAGAAAGTTTTTACTAAGTTACTCTTATCTACAGCCCATAAAGTTGCCATTTTTTCATAACCTCATCAACTCAAGATGTTAGAAATCATGATATTCATCATTGAATATCTGTTAAATTACTTGTGACTTATTTATTTCATGGAATTTGAAAACATTTAGAATAAAAGTGATCCTGGGAATTTTTCAGAGTATAGAATTTGGTGTTGGTGCACTATTGTTGTTGTCAAGAGGATAAATAGCGTCTCCCTGTAATAAATGAAATTTGACAATTCAAGTTATTATTTCACACTTCATGTGGGAAGTTTTATACTTGAAAGTCTTGGGTGTTTTTTGCTGCCATTATTCTGAGATATAAAGTGTCTTTCTTTACCACTAATACAGTTGAGATTGTAGATTTAACACCACATTAAAGAGGATCAAAGTGAATATTCGTCTGGGTCTGATGTATAGGTTAGCTGCTGCTCTCTGGCACTTATTTAAAACCAGTTCCTAGCAGAGTCATGTGCGGCTATTTCTCACCAGCGTAAGTGCCTCCAGCCTGGGTCACACATTCCTTTCATCACAATCATTTATTTTTAGTGAGAAACTGTTCCAATTCTCCACTGTACTTTAAAAATATGACTGTCTTCAATTTTAAAAAGGTAAAAATGCTATTCTTTGGACGATATTTCTTCCATCCATAATCTAAATCTCATTCTTAAAAGAGAATTTATTTATTATAGTATCTATCAGGCAATATTTTACCCTGAATTGCTCCTGGCATCCATTCATCCTGCTAGATTTCGAATATTTTAGCTTTTCCATTTGACTTATGTTTGAATTCTTTTTAGTACCAAATGTTTTTAATGCTGCATGCTTTTGAATTATGAATTTTGGGAGGGGAACAAAGAAGGTAGGAGAGTCAAATGTATTTTCATACTTTTGATTCTCAAATTTTATTTATACATATTTCCACACTTATTTCTGGTTTCAATATCTAAAATTATATGCTGGTGTTTTAAAATTGTTTGAGAAATTAAAAAATTAAAAACTTCATGCTTCACTGGCTAAAATTGGGCACTTAAGAAAGACAGTAGCTCTCTAATCTGCACTTTATTCCATCTTAATTTAGTGTTACTTTTGGTATGAAGATGCAAGTGCTACTATTGTACGCGTTGGCAAATATTCCCTGGAGTGCAAAACCAAGGAAGCTGTGGAAATTCTCCACCAGCAGTTCAATAAGTTTACTGCACCCTCAGTGCCTCAGCAAGAGGAAAGGATTCAGGAGGTCATGGGCCTGGCTCGGCGCTTATATGGTGAGCGCTCTCCTACGATATCTGGTGTCTTGCCATTGGACAAATCTATACTGAACCTACTTCACTAGAAAGCACAGCGCAGCAAGACTTGAGGTCTTGGCTGCACCAATCTATCCAGAGAAAAGTCTCACAATGTAGCGCACATCCTACAAAGGGAAACAGGAACTTCTGACAGCAAGAGATGAAGCCCCTGGTTCTTTTTTTTTTTTTTTTAACATTTTAGGGAAGGGTCTACAGGGTGTTCAGGGTCTCACTACTAGATTGGACTTGTAGTGATCTGCCTGTTTACAGCCTCCCAAGAGCTGGGATTACAGGTGTGCACCACCATGCTCAGTCTCAGTTGCCATCTCAGCATGCCCCGGGGGCAGGGCCACCATGGCAGGCCCAGGGGCCAAGCCCCTGTCCCCTGCACCTGGTTTTAATCTGCTGAGCTATTTGACTGGTCCTTAAGCCCCTGGTTCTCAACTGTCTAGTTCAAATCCTCCCTCTCTATTTGCTTTTCTTCCTTTCTCTTGTGCATCTGTAGGACAATACAACTAGGACAGTACTATCATTGCTGTCAGGATAAAAAGTGTCTCCCTAGAATAGGTGAAATTGTTCCTTAAACAACATACAAATAAATTAGGTACAAAGTTAAGACTGAAGACCATGATCCTCTCATATCTATGAGGATTTGGGCTCATGGATTTGATAAATAGCTAGAAAATTCTGCCTCATCTTCCTCTAACTTGTGCATAAATGAGAGGACTGGAATCATCATCTCATGACTTCTTCCTCTTCTCCATGACTGGGAAACATAATACTGCAGTCAGCCTCAGGAGTTCTTCCTGAAAAGGGGCTCTGCTTATGAAGTCCCCGGATGATGCCAATCCTTAAGGGCTCTAAGAAATAGGTTCTACAAATTCTTTAATGTCATTCCTGTAATACTAAGAGTAATTTCCAGTGACCAGGCAAATATAGGCTAAAAGGAATACAGTAAGAGCTGGCACATAGTGCTTTGTTTGGTGTTCACAGGGAGATATTTTGACTTATAATATGAAGCAACAAGCAGGGAAAGCCATAAAATTATTACAGAATAATATGTACTGCAATGTCATTAAATAATTGAGAATAAATTATGATTTTTCCAAGGTTGGTATTATAGCTCAATGGTAGCGTGCTTGCCTAGGTTGGTAGCTGCAGCATTAGCTTTCATTCATTTTTTAAATTTATATTTTAATATTTCTAACCATTCCCTTGGAAAATGATTTATTTACTTATTTATTTTGTGGTACTGGAAGCACTCTGCAACCATGATCTCCTACATATTTGCCTCCATTCCTGTGCCTCTTACAAGAAAGTGTAAACATCTATCTGTCCTCACTATTGACTATAAGCTCCTCTTTAAAGATTTTTGTGGGGGCTGGAGAGATGGCTCAGTGGTCTAAAGCACCTACTTAGAACAAGCTTGGCAAGGCATCAGGGACCGCGGTTCAATCCCCCAGCACCAC